GGCTGCTGGAGGATGATGTTCTCTCTTTGACGTCATCTGATCCAGGGGCCAGTGCTCTGCTGGGTCCAGCCCAGGAAGAGCAGGAAATGGATGAAGAGAGCGAAGAAGCTGAGGCTGAGCCTTCGCATTCCTCCTGCCCTGCGTATGATAAGCTCTTAGAGGTTATGGATCGTGCCACGGCAAGGCTTGACTTACCGTGGAAGCGGACTAAGGAAGTGACGTCGTGAGGTCGCCTCGAGGAACGTTATCTTTCTGGCCATAACCCTCCAGCTCAGGTGAGCCTTCCTTTCCTTCCTGATCTCCATACTGAGATCGAGAAGGAATGGAAGAGGCTGTTTTCCTCACGCATCCATCGGTTTCAGCATACCAGTTATGCGAACATCGAGGCGATGCGCGAAAACGGCTATGAGAGGATGCCCCCTGTAGAAGAGACGCTACTGTTTAGTCACACCTAGCCTAACTATATGAAATGAAAATGTACAAAAATGTAGTCAGTACGTTTTAAAATTGTAAGAAATAAAAATGAGAAACATTAGAAATGCATTTTAGTCAAGTATTCAGTTTAAATTACACTTAAGTTAAGTACAAACCCCCAAAAACAATATTTAATTTCAGTAACGTTAGTGAAATAAAATAAAATAACTCTTTACACCTATGCATAAAACGATTGCAAGACGTTTCATGGTACATGACCCGTTTCTGCTCACCTGCTCCCTGGTTGTCTGTTTAATAGCATTGACCCTAAATAACATGTGAATATAATGTTGGCTACTTCAGAAAACAGAAAATAAGCACATCTAAAAAAATCTCTTACTTACCTTTATGAAAATGTCGAGGGTAAACGAACATAACCGGAGATATGTTGGCAAATATGATGATTTTGCATATCACCGCTGCAACCCAGGCCATCTGACGGGGCGACGCCTCTTGTTGTTTAGTCTTTTTTTCAAGTGTGAGACCTAAAATATCTTTCTTCGTGGTGAGTTTTTGACCTTTTCTATCATGCAATTCACTATTGCAGACTTTAACACAACAAGAATGTACCATTTTAAATCAAATGAAAAAGACAATTCTCCAACTACAGAACACCTTGGCTTTGATACCTTACAAATGGCGGCGATACCCAAAATGCACTTCGATTCTCGTGAGTGTGATGTCACCTGACAAAGACCGATTGCGTGTAATCACATCCATACAGTTTATGATCACAAAAACAACAACGTTTGTCAGGCATCTACATTGTCATCTGAGGAGATTACAAAGATTAAATGAGTGTTTTTTTTAAACTCTAAAACATGAAATGTGGAGTTATCTGCTTTTGCCAAAAAATGACTGTTGGAGTTATTTGCTTTTGCTATAAAACAAACTTTTAATATGTAAAATCAACTGTCAATGAACTTTAATTTTGTAAATTACCTGTATTTGTTTAAGTTATTATTATAAAACTTTATTTATTAAATATAAAAAAAATGTATATTAAATATAAAAATATTACTTGGAATGCGCAATAAAAAAACGTGATTTCTGAAAAAAAATAAAAGTGGAGTTATCAGTTTTTGCAAATGAACTCTTCATATAAAATCATGTGGGTTTTAAGCAAAATCTTCCATTGTTTCGTCATGCCATTTGCTTTAATAGCAAATGCACTAAAATGGTGTAGAAACTTTTTTTTTTTACTCAGAAATTGCTAGCAAATGTTACAGTTGCGATACGTATGAAGAAAAAGCAAGTAACACATTTAATTAATTATTACAAACGTTTGAAGTAAAATGACTGAATTATTCTAATCCCACTTACAAAGTGCAAGATTTCTAGTAATTTGTGCAATGAAAAAAACTTTTTTTTGTTGTTTTTTTTTTATGTCAAGAAACAACTTTTGTTATCTCAAGATCACAAGAAAATTAAGTCAGGATCACAAAAAAAATAAAAAATAAATAATAATAATAATGCATGGCCTAGTAGGGCTTCAGTGTTTGTAAAACATACTTCAATAATCGTTTTATTTACAGTTTCGCAAACTCTTTTTTTTTTTATCAGTCTGCTCTGTAGGCCTCTTAGCTGTTTGTTTGCTTTCTCTTTCCTTCTCTCAGTGATTTACTCAGGATGCCTTATTTTCCCTGCCTAAATGTAATTTCTTTTGTTTGTCATGACTGTCATTATTTATGAAGGAAAAAAGGGGGGTTTTCAAATCATCATAATTTAACGTAGTGCTGTTGTTTTCCCACAAGAATTCTAAATTTACCACCCAGCAGTAAATGGAGCACTTGTGTTTGTCGGTAAATGTAAATCACCCCGTGCAGCTGCAATAAGTGTCAAAGCGGAGCGTTCGGCTGTAGCTCTAACACGCATCCAGTCGCACCTTTTATCTGTGTCAAGAGTCAATATGCTTCAGCCGACCCTGTGAAACGGCACCTAAGATGGAGTAGTCTGCTAAAGACCTGGCATCTGCCCACGTTCTCTCTCGCAATCAATCCACAGGCCTAAAGAGACAAATAAAGCACGTTGATTTCATCTCAGAGGAATGAATTAGGAACAAACGAGGCTCTTCTCTCTCACTCGCTTTCTTTCTCTTATGCTTTGCTTCAGTAACCACTCTTTCTCTCTCTCTCTGGATCTCAGCATTGCAGTGGCTGATAGCTGTGTGACAAAGCCAGAGGCCCCTGGGACTGAGGCCCCAGAGAAGCCTGAATCCACCACCAGGAAAGTAAAGGCCATGGCTTCCTAGTCAACTCCTTTTCCAAATTTCCCCTCAAAGAGTCTCTGTGTGGCATGATGGCCTCCAGTTCTGTCTGTTTTGAGCTCTGTTTGAGCAGCATTTGAGCAGTAATAGGAAATATTGTGATGAATTCCACAAAAGATCAGCAGGGCAGAGCGGGGAGTGTTGTAACACCAGGCGAGTCACAACAACACCAGTTTACCCAATTAGAAATGAGCTACAGGGGTGAAATCACTATTATACCAGAGCACCACCATCCTGGGGTGACAATAGAAATCGTACAATTTTTTTTGTCTTTTTTTTTAACTGCAAATTTGCGGTAAAGTAAAATTTAAAAAAAATTATGTGAGATGAAGTTTAAAATAAAAAATAATGATTACAAAGTCACAATTGTACAGTATAGTCAAATTGTGAGAAATAAAGTTGTAATTATGAAAAACAAAGTTGCAATTGTCAGATATAAACACACACTGCAAAAAATAAATAAATAAAATATCTTATGTTTCCAGTACGAATAACTAAACAGTCTTACATTAAGATTTACTTGAGAACAAAATGACTTAAAGGTGCACTAAGCGATTTTTGCCAAACGATGTTGATATTTGAAAGCACCAAAACAAACACGCCCATACCCCAACAGGACCTCGCCCCTTTTTTGATTACTCCGCCCCACACATACTTACACAACCCTGGCAGCGACGATGGCGGAATCTGCTATGCCGGCTGCAGCATATTCAAGCAAATGCCAACCCAGAAAAGTTGTGTGAAAAAGCAAAATCAACATAACTCACCTGTCAAGAAGAAACAAAGCAACCTCGGCATTCGATTTCCTTCCTCTCCTTGAGTTCTCGCCACTACTGGAAGCTGCTCTGATATTTACACGGTTCTACCTCTTGCCTGATCGTAACCCTTCTTTTTAATGTTTTGTTCCTCCAAATATTTTTTTTTTTATCTGCCATCTCTCGCTATCTATAGTCGATCTGCTAATATCCGTCCTGTGCACTCAATGAGTGCTCTCTTCTCCCTGCCATTACTAGACGCCCCTTACTGCTGATTGGCTGCGAGTTTGTTTTGGGACTCGGGCCGACACAGTGGTCAAAAGCATTTTTCAAAAATCGCTTAGTGCAAGATATTAAGAGTATTTGAGGATAGGTGAAAGATACATCATGCAGATGCGTTCGGACACATCATCAGTGATGTATCCTGGGGTCATGGGTGTTTCGGGTCTTTCAACATCAGACACCTCACCCCGGCCTGTGTCCCAGCAGCATTTGCCCATGGTTCTGCCCTCTTAATCGAAAGCCAACTAGTGTCTTTCTCTTTTTGCAGTGCATAATCGGGAAATCAAAAGTCACAATTATAAGTAATAATAATAGTAATACTAGTTTTTATTTATTTATTAATTCATTCAATTCATTCAGGCAGTCAGTCAGTCATTCACTTACTAACTTAGTGTTACTCCGGGCTTCCATTGATTTTTGAGAATGTTACTGGAATTACTGGAGTTAAATGACAGAACTAGTATCATCCAAATCTGCAACTCCTCCTGTTTAATTTAATGTGGGGTGACATACATAATTATTTTAAATGAATTGAATTACCACCATAAATTATATACTGTAAATTTATACTTTTTTAAATATACATGTATAAAAAATTATCTGATGTTTATATTAAGGGATAAGTTCTATCAGATCGTTCAAGGAATTATCAAAGTTTGAGACATGAGGTGCAAAAAAGCACAGATGTTGAATTAAAATAGGTAGAACACTCCCCTGTCTCTCCTAGAGTTGTAGATAAGTCTCAGGCGAAAAAAAGAAGAAGAAGAAACAATTGTATGAATTCCTTATACTCTCCAGCTAAAGTTTTAATAGTTTTGACCAGACCACAAACGCAGTACAGTTTTTGGATGACTTTGCAGTAGCCAGAGATGAAGAAAGGCCTAAATGATGTGTGCAAGCTACAAAGTTGAACTTTTTGAAGTGTGCACTTTCATCATGCACTCTTTTGATGAAAAGTTATTTGTGTAACAATCATTCCTCGAGAGGATTTTCATCTAGATTTACTTCTAAAACTAAAACTACATTACACTTACCCACACTGCAAACTCTGCTCAATATGCTAAAGCACGTCTTCCTAACCTCCGTTTGTCTCTTTTCTCTCCCTGTGTTGCCTGCAAGCATGTTTATGTCTGCATGTCCAGAATATGAGTCCCTGGTGAACAGTGGTCCTCATCTAGTGCTGCTTGTTGCTGGTGTTTCAGTGAGCTGTCGTAGCTGTGCTTGTCTATGTTTGTAATTCTATTAGGAACCATTTTAACTACATGATACAAAAAAAAAAAATAAATAATAATAAAAATGGAACTTCCTCAAATTATTTTTCAACATTGATTGCTGAAGTAGATTTTGGTGTAATGGTAATGACATTTC